GTTTTCCTCCTCAGGACCACATGCCTTCTTCTGCTAGGTATTTAATTATTCTGTAGTCATTCTGGAATATTCTGGTGGACAGCTAGTCTCTCTTCTCACCCACACCATATACAGCTGCTGCCATGTGAGGGAAATAATTGACTAGTTTCACATGAAACACTTACAGAAGCCTTAAAAAAAAAACCTTTCTTGTTATTTTTCACATTTTCCTGGAGATCATTTTAACCCTTTTAGCAGTAAAAGCAGTATCTTGGCATTTGCTATATATCGAATAATTTGCCAGGAACTACTGTCCTCATAAGAAGTCCATCCTCTCAGAAAGGGCCACATAAACCAGAGACTCCATCAGCCTGAGACCAGAAGAACTAGATGGTGCCTGGCTACCTCCAATGACCGCCCTGACAGGGAACACAACAGAGAGTCCCTGACACAGCAGGAGAAAGGTGGGGTGCAGATTTCAAATTCTAGTAAGAAGACCAGACTTAATGGTCTGATTGAGACTGGAGGAACCCTGAAAGACGTGGCCCTCAGACTCTCTGTTAACCCAGAACTAAAACCATTCCCGAAGCCAACTCTTCAGACCAAGATTAGACTGGACAATAAGACATAAAATGATACTTGTGAAGAATGTGCTTCTTAGCTCAAGTAGACACATGAGACTAAGTGGCAGCTCTTGTCCTGAGGCGAGATGAGAACGCAAAAAGGGACAGGGCTGGTTGAATGGACATGGGAAATCCAGGGTGGAAAGGAAGAGCATGCTGTCACATTATAGGGAGAACAACTAGGGTCACATAACAATGTGTATATAAGTTTTTGTATTAGAAACTAACTTGGGCTGTAAACTTTTACTTAAAGCAAAAAAAAAAAAAAAAAAAAGTCCATCCTCAAGAGAAGCATTTTAAGATCTAATAATCATTTTAAGGTTTTTGCAGAAGGTCAGCACCACTGGGTTCCTGAGGATGAAAAAGGCAGCTCATGGAAGCCAGACTAGAGAGAGAACGAGGCATTTTGTCTTGAAACATTATTTGAGCAGCTGGATGAAACTTCACTTGAACCCAGAGCTTCCATTGAAATTCTCAATATATTCCAATCATCTTCAAAAAGCCTCTTTTAAGTCTTAAGGAAGTTTGAGCTGGGGTTTTCTTTTGCAACTTAAAAATTTTTTTTAACAGATATTAACTTCCTTCTGATTACCAAATACAAAGCTTCCATTAGCCATGCCCCTCCTCAAACCCCTTTTTATCACACAAATCTTTCCAAATTAAGTGAGTAAAATGAAAACTGACTTCCTACAAATCTGACTGGAATTTTTTTTTGTTTATTGTTGTACTGTAAGTGAAAGTTTACATTTCACGTTAGTTTCTCATACAAAGATTTGTACATACATTGTTATGTGACCCTAATTGCTCTCCCTATACTGTGACAGCACACTTCTCCTTTCCACCCCTGATTTCCCGTGTCCATTCAACCAGCTGCTAACCCTCTCTGCCTTCTCATCTCACCTCTGGACAGGAGCTGCCCATTTAGTCGCATGTATCTCCTTGAGCTAAGAAGCACACGCTTCATGAGTATCATTTTATGTCCCATAGTCCACTCCAATCTTTGTCTGAAGAGTTGGCCTTGGGAATGGTTTTAGTTCTGGGTTGACAGAGAGTCCGGGGCCCATGCTTTCCAGGGTTCCTCCAGGCTCAGTCAGACCATTAAGTCTGATCTTTTTTACTAGAATTTGAGTTCTGCACCCCACCTTTCTCCTGCTCCATCAGGGACTCTCTGTTATGTTCGACTGGAATTTTTTAATAATAAAAACAAAAATAATGATGATCGTGTCAACAACAGTGTCTAACATTTACCAGTTACTACTGACTCCACTCTAACTCATGGCAACCCCACGTGTGTCAGAGTAGAACTGTGCTCCTTAGGGTTTTCAATGGTTGATTTTTCAGAAGGAGATAGTGAGGGCTCTGTTTTGAGTAGTCCTAGTGGTGCACCAGTTAGAACTCGACTGCTAACTAAAAGGTTGGCAGTATGAATCCATCAGCCACTCCTTGGAAACCCTATGGGGCATTTCTATTCTGTCCTATAGGGTCACTATGAGTTGGAATCGACTCTACGGCAACGAGTTTGGTTTTTTTGGTTATTTTTTTTTCTTTTGAGGCACCTCTAGGTGGACTCTAACCTCCAACCTTTTGGTTAGCAGCCAAGTGCATTAACAGTTTGCACCACCCAGAGACTCCAGCTATCATTTAGTGAGTGCTCATTACATACCAACAATAAATTAAGGCAGTGGTTCTCAAATTTTGCTGCAAATTTTTTTTTAAAAACCCCAATGCCCAGACTACATCCATATCAATTAAATTCTTGTGGCGCCAGAATCTCTGGGAGTGGGAAACAGACATCAGCATTTTTTAAAGCTCCCAACTTCATGTGCAGTAAATCTGAGAACCTTTCCCTCTGCTAAACATTCGCTAATGAGTTCTCTCATTTCATCTTTATAGCGACCATGTTAGGCAGGCATTATTATTATTATCACCATTTCACATATGAGGAAGAACTCCGATGCTTAGGAAGGTCACGCAGGTAACATGCCACAGAACCAGGCTCTGAAAATATTAGAGTGAGGTTCTTGAACACCAGCATGAAGTAGAAAGAAAACAAAAAATAAAAATAAACAATTAATAATAGTAGCAACAACAACAAAAATAATAAGAAAATGGATTACCCATAGAAAAAGAAATTGGTCCCTCATAGAAAGAGTTGGCAGATAACACAGTAAAAAAAAAAAAAAAAAAAAAAAAAACCCACTGAGGTTGAGTCAATTCCGACTCATATGACCGTATAGGACAGAGGAGAAATGTCCCATGGGGTTTCCAAGGAGTGGCTGGTGGATTCGAATTCGCGACCTTTTTTGGTTAGCAGCCAGAGCTCTTAACCACTGCACCACCAGCGCTTCAAAACAGTAAAAGCCAGAATATTTTGAGTTTTAAAGTTCATCCTCGAGAGAAGCATTTTAAGATCTAATAGTGGTTTATCAGCTGAGCACGGTACAGACACTGGCTCTGTTCATTTAACAACATTCAGTAGACATTTATCAGACTGCATCCATAAATGAAACACTTAACTGATAAGCAAGCTGTGTATTACAATAAAAGGACAGATTCAAGCATGAAAGAAACCCTTCATCGGGCGTAAGAACTGACTTTATTTGACTCTCTAACGCCTGGATACAAAGGGGTTCTGAAGTGGTGTAGGTAACTATCTTTAACAAATATTGACTTTCAAATTCTAAGTTAAGTCAATAACTTACATTAAAAGACAAACCTCATAGCTACATTATCAATAAAGTTCTTGGAACTAACAGGCTTATGTGAAACTTGGCTGAAATGTGGTTAGGAGAAAAAGGAGAAAAAAAAAAACTTTCTTACGCTGAAAACTGCGAACAATTTTTGAATCATCATCCAAGCATTAATTTTGATAAGCCTCTCTGATATGAAACCGAAAGACCAAACGATTGGAAATTGCATTAGATCACTGAGAGATAAATGTACTACCAATAATTGACTAGCTTCACATGAAACACTCACAGAAACCTTAAAAATAAAAACCTTTCTTTTTATGTTTCATGTTTTCCTGGAGACCATTTTAACTCTTTCAGCAATAAAAGCAGTGCCTGAGGCCCATAAAACAAAATGAGACTAAATGGGCACACCTGCCCAGGAGCAAGGATGAGAAGGCAGGAGGGGACAGGAAAGCTGGCAACGGGGAACCCAAGTTTGCGAAGGGGAGAGGGTGGACATGTCAAGGGGTTGCAACCAATGTCACAAAACAATATGTGTACTAATTGTTTAATGAGAAACTAATTTGCTCTGTAAACCTTCATCTAAAGTACAATTAAAAAAAAAAACTTCAATGAGCTACATACGTTTTTTTACATTTTACTATGTTATAGTTCAATATAAACATTTACCAAAAAAAAAAAAAAAATTAAAAAAACAATAAAAAGCAATGTCTGGGCATTTGCTTTATGGTATAATTTGCCAGAACCTTCGTTACGTACGTATGTAGCTAAAGAAATAATCATTGCAGGTGACTGTTTTTTCCTTGCATCTCCAAAGCAACAAATCATTTCAGATGTCAAAGGAAGTAATTTGACGTTTGAAGAATAAAAGTTGCAAGTAGATGCTCAGTTAGAAAATCCATAGTTTTATATTAATTATCGAAAGAGGCGTAGAGTTCCTAAATGGCCATTTCTTGACTCTGTTAACATTCTTTGTACTAGAAATGAAGTATCGAAAGCACTAAACTTTAAATACAATACAGAACACTTTCCCGACTTGGATGGTGAGTCAACACATCCTTCTACTATTTCTTACCAGATAATCTAAGTTAAAAGAATATATGTTCTTCATCCAACATTTAAGAAAAATCTTCAAGAAATAAAATTTAAACATTGCTTTGAATATTTTCTTAGCAAGTTTTTCAAACCAAAATAAATGACATTCCACACAACTGATCCCGAAGTACGTTGGTATTCACTAGTAACATTTGCAGAAAGAAGGCTTTATACATTTTGACTTCATGGGTTGAAGTATTTCAACTGCAAAGCATTTGAGTTATAAGTTCTCGTTCATCAGGTCTATAAGTTAATTCATGTATGCTTGCAAGGCTCAAGGAATTTTTTCAAATCACTGTAAGCACATTTCAATTATTCAGAAATACCAGGAAACTTTGGTATTACATCTTTTATTTTCAAAGAAAAATAAAATTAGAGGGCACGAAGCAAGCCTTTATGCCCAACTGCCCATATATTTGTTCACTGTTTCTGTCTTTTAATGTAAGTGGAACTGTTTAGTATAAACTGGCTTTTGGAAGGACTGGTTGTTTTATTGTGTTTTACAACATCTACAACAAAGAAACTTTTAATCAGGGCAATTAATTTATACCGTGACACAGCTAAATAATCAAGGCAACATCTGGTGCCTGCGCAAAGCTCTGCTTCCTACCTTGGGAGCTTTGGCGTGTTTCCCACATCTGGCATCTTTGACAAGGCTGAGGTCTAACAGCTCCGTCTCCTGGAAGACACAAATATGAAACCATTAAGAACCCATACCATCTTTTTCTTTGTTTTATGTCATGATAACACTTTTAAAAACATAATATTATCTTGCGACCTGCCTAAAGATTTTTCTGTGGTTGGGATATTCTCTCATCTTCTATTACTTATCCATCAAGTTGGGAAGGAAATAAAAAGACAGCTAACTTCTCAGTTCACTATATATTCCAACATGTTTTAGAAGGAAAATGTCCATGATTTGGGTGCCAGGTCTATCCTACAAACCATTCCTGAGGCCTTCCTATTCCACTGTTGAAAAATAATCCCGGGAATCACTCCACGTGTATGCAAATGTACAGGAGAGACAGAAGGAGATATTTCTATCAGTTTATACACATATCCAGCTTACCTGGCCAAAGCAAAGAGATGGATCTGCCTCCCTCATCCACCTATCCTTTTGCACTCATATCTCACACATTGATCATTTAGTTATTCATTATACATTATTGAACCCCTACAAAATGTATGTTATTCTAGGGCACATGTTATTCTCTCCTCTGGATGGACCTGTCATCAAGTATGAAAGTAAAGAAATGTATATGTGTTAAGACAAAGGACAGCGTACTAATGCCACATTTAGGGTTAGCTGCATGGGGGATCAGCAGATAAAAGATAGTTTTCCCCCAGGGGCTCAGAGAAAAGCTCATGGAGGAGTCATTGAGCAGGAAGAAGAGGGTGTCAGTGGGAAAGGAGGGAGCTTATCTCGGTCAGAAGGGACAACACAAACAAATAATCAGACAAGAAAGCACCAGAGGTTTGGGTAGAACCTTGAAACACTAGACACTGAGGGCTTTTAAAAAAAAAAAAAAAATCAAATCATTGCCCTTGAATTGATCCGGCTCATAGCAAGCAGCCCTATAGGACAGAGTAGAATTGCCCTATAGGGTTTCCAAGGAGCAGCTGGTGGATTTGAAATGTCAACCTTTTGGTTAGCAGCCAAACTCTTAACCACTGCGTCACCAGGGCTCCATTACACACCTATAGATGGAGAAAACTTCAGGAAAAAGGGGCAGCAGGGAGGAACTGGATAGCTATATATAGGGAGTGAGGAACAGCACAAGCAAAGGCATAGTGGCAGCAGGAAGACATCCTCGTGGAGACATCAAGTATTCCATTTGGCTGGAGTAGAGAACATATGAAAAGAAGTCATGGGAAATGAGACCAGAAAGGGATATTTAGCTGAAGGATGGAAACCCTGCAAGCCCAGCTAAGAACATTGAGCCATGAAATTTGGGAAACATAAGTTACCAAGAGCCAGATATAACCATATTGGGTGAGCACAGTTGTCCAAAAATGACTCCTGATGTTCACCCTATGTTTCCTGGACAGCAAGCTAGTCAAGATGGAGGAATCTAATCCCCTTTTCCCAGCAGGAGGCATTGTGCCATAACTGAGCCTTCCCTAGACCTTCCGGACAGGAGTGGCTGTAACTTCTCATAGTTCCCAAGGTCCCCACGTACGAACAGCTGGTGTTCCCAGACAACGCCTCCAAACAGCCGCCAATAGATCAAATATCTGCTGCAAAATGATCTTGATTATTCTCCTGCACCTAAGGTTGATCTCATGTTTGCAGCATAATATGGGTCAAATAGGAGGCTAGGTCCCTCCACCAGAATGCAAACCCACACAGCAAGCCCAACAGAACATCCTAGCCCCAGCACACCTCTCTAGGATGAATGCAGGACACGAAACAATGGAAAATCAGATATGAGGAGGCTGAACAACTCCACATCAGCAACTACCAAAACTTTGTTGGAAAAAGAGAAACATGAATGGATATAAAGGTATAATTGACTGAAGGAAAGAGGGGAGTCATATACAGCCCTGAGGTTTCCATCTTCCTCACTGTGACTTGGAAGTTTGGGCAAAATGATTGTTCATTTTGGAGATGTGGGTTTGAGGGATTTATCCAAGTGGAAATGCCGGTCATGATTTCACGAAACCATTAGTTATCGAATGTCTACAACAGGTCAAGTATAGGCTAGGTATTGAGGATTAAGCAAAACAAAACAAAAATAGAGAAGTCCTTGTTTTGAGGAGTTCACTAATAAAAATAATGATTATACTCTTAAACAAGACATTTAAAACTGCACTGCAGACACGGAACCACAGAAGACTAGTTAGTATCTTTTCAGCCAGCACATGAGAATAAAAAGGAGTCTGGCAGCCTTAGAAATTGGGGGGGGGGGTGTTTCAGGGAGAGGCAAGAGCAGGTAACCAGAGGCCAGAGTCATGTGCAGGACACCATAAGACACTCCTGGATACAGCACTTGTGTATAGCCACAATATCCTTCTGATTTACTGGTTATTACACGGGAATTCTCTTTGTAATTATTCGCAAAACTGCTAACGTTTCTATTTAATGCACTTTTCCCTATATGTTGCACAAAGTTTAACATATATGTACGATAAAAATCTCACCCCCCCCAAACACACACAATCCGTTTACCTAATTGATTGCAACATTTTCTATTCAAGGAAATTCCTCTCAGTTGAACACACAATAGACTTAAATTTTACTCGCTTATTTATACACACAAAGCCCCAAATTGAGTTCACAAAGAACTAGATCTTACCAGGCGGCATTGTACAGACTTTACGTTACAGATAATGAACACCATTTTCACTTTCAGCTCTAGAGGAAACGTTCATTCCCCAAGCCACACAGGGGTAGTTAATGCCAGCTGCCCGAGGGAGCCATTCTGATACCAACCGACTAAGACACTTCTCTCGCTCGCGTGTAAAATTGTGTGTGTAGGAAGCCTGCCGCAGGGTACTATCAGCGTGGGTAATGTGGCGTGGGAAATACCCAGGTGGAAAAGCTGTCCAAAGACTCATTCTGCTAGAAAGTGATGATTAAAATAGTGTCTTCCAATTCTATTACTATGCAGCAGCCACCCCTCTGGGGTTTAACTACATCCCTTTCTCCTCCGCCAAAATGAAAACGAGGATCTCAAAGCACAGGACCACGAAAATGTTACTTGTGTCATTAAAACTTTTTCTAGGTTAATTTTCTTGCTGTAATAGTCTTAACAACCCGCTCTCATTATTAGAAAGCAGTGAAATGGTCTCTTTCTCAATTTGCTTAAGAGTTAGTGTTTTCCAACTTTATAAATTCTCTGTTCCTTTATACCTTTCTTTAAAGGAGGGGGAGGTCACATGAGTTATAAGCAGAAAACTTGCATTTCAGTAAGCCTCAAAAATTAACTAGCTATGTAATTCAGCCAATCATTTTACCACTCTGAACATCAATTTTACCATCTATGAAGTGAATATGATAACACCTTTTGTACCAAACTTAACTTTCATCAGATTCACCTGCAGGCTTGTTAAAACACAAATTGGCTGGGCTCCACCTATCAGAGTCTTTGGTTCAGTAGGTCTAGATGAGGCCCAAGAATCTGCATCTCTAAAAAGCTCCCAGGTGATACCAATGCTGCTGGTCTATATGCTGAGAATCACTGATCTATACTCATCTCATTGAGTGGCCATCATAAGGCTTTTTGTGTAAATATAATTGATAAAGCTACAAATTACCATTATGTTATATTATATATCTAAATCTGTCATTTCTTTATATAAAGAACTGTCCAATAAAAAATATTTTACTTACTATGTATATGTCATTTACAACAATGACCAAAAAAAAAAAATTTATCTACAACAAAAAACCTCACGAGATTTGGTTTCTTGGTTTGGAGGTTAAAGGTCATCGTTTCATGCGACATCCCAGTTAATTGGTCTAATAATGTGTTAAGTGCTTCTGTTCTACCTACTAATTCATTGAATAGTGCCTTGGCTCTTAAAAACTTGCAAGCAGCCATCCAAGGCGCAACAATTGGTCTCTGTTCACCTGGAACAACAGAGGAAGAAGGAGAGTCAGGAATAGAAGGAGAAAATGGAATGTGTGGCTAACTGCCTCCATGAAAAATTGCCTGCTTTGCCATGAGATCAGAAAAACAGGATGGTACCCAACTACCATTACTGAACATTTTGATCAAAGATTCTATAGAAGAATCCTGATCAAAAGGGAGAAAATGCAGAACAGAATTTCAAATTCTCATGGACTCCAGACTTCCTGGTGCCTAGAAGGTTGGAAGAATCTCTGAAACTATTGCCCTGAGGTAATCTTTAAACCTTAAACCAAAAATATCCCCTGAAGTCTTATTAAAACTAAACAACAGTTTAGCTTAACTGGTAGAAAATGTCTGCCTTGAGCATTATACTCTTTTTAAGAACTATCTGTATGGGATCAAACTGATAACAGCAACTTGAAAGATTAGATAGGAACCTTAGGGGGTAGTGAATTTACGTTAATGGGAGAACAACTCAGAAAAAGAGAGTTAGAAGGGTTGTACAACTCGAAGAATATAATCAATGCCAATAAATGGTACATGTAAAAACTGTTGAATTAGTGTATGTTTTGCTGTGTATATTCTTAAAAACAACAAAATAAATAAAATAAATATATATATATACCTACTAAATGAAAAAATGTGCCTAATGGAGAATAATCTATGCTTAAATTTGGTTTGAGGAAAAACTATTAAATGACAAATGTCATCAGCTCCTATAGTAATAATAAGTGCCCTTAGTATTAAATTTTACCCTATATAAGCAAACATCTCTAAGTATTCAGAATTGCAAGCAATCATTATAATCATTTTATGTTTACTGAAAATGCTATATTATATAATTTTAGTATTTTACTTCATAACCTTAGAGACCCCTCACTTGTCAGATCTTTAGAAAACTGGAAGAAAGAAATCTGTTCTCTCTTTTCTTTAAGCTGAACCAACAATGGAAATGTGATTGGGATCCAAAGGCCTGCGGACTACTTGGATAAGCAAAGAAAGAAAAGCTAAATAGTTGACTCTGACTCATGGTGACCCCAAGTGTGTCAGAGTAAAACTGTGCTCCATAGAGTTTTTAATGGCCGATTTTTTAGCAGTTGATCCC